AGTGCATATCACAGAAATGTGTGAACAAAACAATGCAAGTGAAAATACCTTTAATCTACCAACCCACATAACTGAACAGAGTGAAGTGATTGGTAAAGGCACAGATGATGATCAACAAAGCCACAACAGTCATAATACAAGTTTCAATGCCTATATGAATGGTATAATTTTGAAACATTGCTGCGCTATATCATTTTATTGTATTTGTTTTTCTGTTTTAAAAGCCTGTAACTATTGGAATTCAGATACATTGGAATCTATTTCTGATCATGGAAACATGTTTTATACTCGGAGCCTCAACAAAGAGTGCCTTACAATCAATGATTTACCAGCAAGCCTTCAGATATATGATGCAGATATAAGTGTTAAAAATAATTTACAAAAACAAGGCAAATTGTGCTGCACATCTGCTACAAGCAAATTAGAACTACAGAAGATAATAACAAATAATACAAAAGGCAATACTGGATTCTTAGCATGGCTGTCCAATTCTTGCATTTGTTGCATTTTTCACCATAAATGCCGGACCACCGACTTTTATCTCATTTGATATGTTTGAAAAAGTAACCAGTGTATCCACCTTAGTACAGAAAATGATTGGTATAGCAACACAAACACTTCAAAATGAGTTAGATTACCATATTTTATTTATATCCTGCTCAACTCAATTATCAAACACTGCAAGACAAGGTATCATAAGGAAACACAAATCAAATGCACAAAAAAAGGTTAATGCTGAGAAACGCAAATTAAGCTATGCAAGCATGAATCCTGCCCTTAAGAAACAACGTTTGTCTCAACAAGCAGAACAGCATAAATCTATGAACACTGCAAAAAGAGAAAAGAACCTTTCACGCCTGAGATCTAACAGTCAAGTAAGATACCACTACCATCTGCTATCAATCGTGAAGCATTTGGATYAGGAAGCGAAAATGCCAAAGCATTAGCMCTACAAAATGCTCAATATTCTTTTATCTTTTTTACCAAGCAAACCGCCTGGCAACAACGGTTCCCGCGAGACCCTCTCATTTTTCGGGGTTGACCAACATAAACACATCCTCTCCGATTGCGCTCCTTTACTTTCACACTTCTACTACTTTCTCACCTTCTTTGTTTTCGACATAGGTAGCCCGAGTAAACGCCAATAAGGGCGTCTAGTTGTTCTTCGTTGATCTATCTAGCGCGCGCAATCCATCATGTGACAGGCGTTCCTCGTAGTGTTTTGGTTTCGGCCGATCCTAGCCATTAAATGGCTTACCTTCGAAGCACAGGAGAGGACCAACAAACAACTCTACTCATATATCAGTCTATAATACACTTTCTAGACATCAAATTATAAAAAGCTAATAATCTAATGTTCATGTTAATTTTTTTTCCAGTATACAAAATGTATAATAAAGCAATTATTGAATTCGGTTATCGCATAATATCGTAAATGCAGCCGGCCGTAACAGTACGCGACGAGGAATAACACGGAAGTCAAGCGTGAATAATCAACCAACAGCCGTGAGCGAAAATAGTTGTGAGCGTACTTATTTTATTTGACTGCCTTAAAACCCTTCAATGCATATGAAATTAAAGGAGAATATTTGTAAAAGATACATCTTTCAGTGACTTCAGTTAGAAAAAAATCGTTTGACGATTTTTTGAATGCCGCTTTCATCGATATTTTCTATCGCTGTTGACAACAAATGGGGTCATTTAGCTTCATATCAGAAAATCCATAAGGTTAGAAAGAAAGTCACAACTTGATTCATACTCAATAGGACAGTGTCTATATCCGTACYTATATTCTAGCTACTAAAAATATTGAATCCACTAAATTAAAGTCCCGATTTTGAGGGTATAAAGTYGACACGCTGGAAATAATAGTAAAAGTTCATGAATATATTTATCGCGTAATATTTGAAAAACGCTCTCATACATTTTTTTCATGTTGCAATATGTTGGGTGCCTTGATGAATACTATCGACTGATGCAAGTCGCTTTGAAAGTTTAGGTCTAGTTTTCGAGAAAATAAGCGGTAAACGATTTCTATGATGTCACCATTACGTCATAACAAAAAGGCCGCTTTAAACTAATTTATCATTTTTGAAACTTTTAATCCTTTCCTGACATTGTCTGAATAGCGCTTGCAGATTGAGTTATTCAAGACGAAGTTGTAGCCGTTTCAATGCGGCTAGGTGTGCCAGACCAAAACTACCCACAGCGGCTAAATCATTTTGTTTATTATGTCTACACCTTTTTCCAAAAAGAAATCGAAAGTGCTTAGTTGCATCTTTGATTCATATAGTTAACTTGAATT